AAAAGGGCGAGGGGGGGGGACACACATGTGTGGCAGTGAGATATTCCACAGCTCAAACCTCCCCCCACCAGAAACCTTGGAAGGTTTCCTGTCTCTAAACTCTAATTTTGTGCTCAATTATGGTCATAAGTCAAGGACTATCTCTGCCTTCCTCCGCATGGCAGCCTTGTCCTAGTAAACTCCTTTTCCTTTCTGGCAATTTTCCTCTCTGTTGGAGGCACCAAAACAATCTAGACGATATAAGGTTTCCTGCTGGAGCAGGGGGTTGGACTAGATGGCCTCCAAGGTCCCTTCCAGCCCTAGATTGCTATCCTGTTTCAAAGCATCTTCTGAAACCACGTCTAGTGCCATGGTTTGTGGTCCTTCCTTCCTGCCTTTCTCTTCTTTCTTTCTCTTTCTTTCTTTCTCTCTCCCTTCCTTCCTTTCTTCCTTCCTTCCTTTCTTTTTTTCTTTCTTTTTCTCTCTCTCTCTTCCTCCCTCCTTTCCTCCTTAAATGCCAGCAAAACCCACTACTTTGCTCCTAAAATGGTCTAGGGCAGAGGTCCCCAATCCTGGCAACTTTTAAACTTGTGGACTTCAACTCCCAGAAATCCTCAGCCAGCAAAACAAAGCAAAACAAAGCTGGCTGAGGAACTCTGGGAGTTGAAGTCCACAAATCTTAAAGTTGCCAAGGTTGGAGACCCCTGCCCTAGGAAAACAATCCACGTTGCTAAAACAAACAAACAACCCACATTGCATCTGTTTTAGGGGAGGAGGTTCAATTCATTGCCCAGTTGGAAGACTGAAATGAAATGCTCCAAGCTGACAGCATTGCTTCTAATGACATTCGGCTCCAGATCAGATCGGGCTTTTTTTTTTTTTTTTTGTGCATGAAAGAGGGACACAGCGAAACAAAAAGAGCCTTGGTACTACAGTGGTTTAAAGCACCCTGTTATTAACACAGCTGCCTGCAATTTACTGCTGGTTCGAATCTCTCCAAGGCTCAAGGTTGACTCAGCCTTCCATCCTTTCTAAGGTAGGTTAAATGAGGACCCAGTTTGTGGGGGCAATAAGCTGACTTTGTATAAATATACAAAAGTATGAAGGCTATTGCTTAACGCACTGTAAGCTGCCCTGAGTCTCCGGAGAAGGGCAGCATATAAATCAAATTAAAAATAAATAAATAAATAAAAAAGCCTCCAGCCTCCGATGTGAAGCAAATTAAAGCCTCTTTCTCTCCTTCTCTCCCCACCTCCCCCTGCTTCCCTTTTACCTTTGTTTAATGCTCTGGAAGTTTTTCTCTCCCAGGCAAGCAGCAAGCTGCTTTCTCTACCCTGCTCTCTTGCGTCCGGAGCCGGTGGGGAACCACGTGGCAGCCCACGTGGATCCCAGGCAGCGGAACTCAGGCTAGGGAAGGGGTGGGCAATTGTGGCTCTTTTACAACTTGTGGACTTCAACTCCCAGAATTCCTGAGACAGCCAAGCTGTCTCAGGAATTCTGGAAGTTGAAGTAGACAGGTTGTAAAAGAGCCACAATTGCCTACCCCTGGCTAGGGTAGGCTGGCGCTGCGTGGGTGGGAGGTGGGGCGGGGCGAGGGGCGGGTGAGCCAGCAATTTAACAAACGGTTTGGTGTGCTGCGGGGTCAATAAATTAGAAAAAAACACCGAACCGTTTGTTAAATTGCTGGCTCGCTCGCCCCATTTATTGGGAATAAATAGTAGTGCGGAGGGGCGGGGCAAGGGGCGGGGCGAGCCAGCAATTTAACAAAGGGTTCGGCCAAACCCCCTAGAACCCCCAGAATCCCACCACTGGATTTACTGAAGGAAAACCTGGAACTCTCAGATTCAGGTTTTCCCAGATGTGCCAGTATACCTACTCTAATAAATGGAACTTTGAGAAAATGCTTGCCTCAGAGTTTTTAATTGGAGTTGGGTTTTTTTGGAACACTGACACAACTACTACTACTACTACTACTACTACTACTACTACTACTACTACTACTAATTTAACCAGGGGTGAAATGCTCCCGGTTTGGACCGGATCGCCCAATCTGGTAGCAATTGAGGCAGGTGGTTCGGAGAACCAGTCGCTAAAATCCCTGCCCCCCCCCATGCCCAGCTGAGCCGCACAATCACCAGAGGCTTTTTTTTTACTTTTAAAAGCATTTTTTCTACAACCTCTTTGGCTGAAAAAATGCTTTTAAAAGTTAAAAAAAAGCCTCTGATGATCATGCAGCTCAGCTGGGATCATCAAAGGCTTTTTAAAGGAAAAAAGCCTCTGCTGATCAGGCAACTCAGCCTGGGTTGAGTTTTTTTCTTTGAAATGCCTCTGATGATCCAAGCTGAGTTGCCTGATCACCAGAGGCTTTTTTTCTTTTAAAAGCCTCTGACGATCCAAGCTGAGTTGCCTGATCGTCAGAGGTATTTAAAAGAAAAAAAGCCTCTGCCGATCAGGCAACTCAGCTGGGATCATCAGAGCCTTTTGAAAACAGTTTTTTACAACCTCTTCGCTGAAGTTGTAGAAAAAATGGTTTTAAAAGTAAAAAAAAAATTGGCCACGCCCACCCAGTCACATTACCCCTCCACACACACCAAGCCACGCCCACAGAACCGGTAGTAACAAATTTTAGATTTCACCACTGAATTTAACTTGTATACCACCTAATTCAATGGCTCCGAAAACAGATTATTAATTTTTCTAAGACTAAAAACTCCATAATCAATTTTTATAAATATATAAATGTATCTGATATTTTTATATATCAATCTTATATGCAAATTTTAAAGCACTGGAATGGAATAAAGAATGGAACTTCCTCAGTTTGTCTAAAGAATAGGAAAATATTTTTACCTTAATACCAGAAACCTCACTAGAACTCAGTTTATGTCCTATACAACAAATAATACTTTAAACTTATTGGTGTTGGAAGGCCCCACCCTCCCCAGAATAAAATATTATTTATTCTTAATATTAAAAGAGAGGCAGAATAGAATATTTCCCTGAAGGGGAAGAGGCGAGACATCTTCTTAAAGGTAGAAAGCAGCTCCAGTCTTCCTGCTGTAGGAAAACAGCCTTAAGCAGAAAACTGAAGAGGTTAGTCTTTAGGAATGGATATTTTGTATCCATTCAGAAAGCTGGGCCACCCTATTCATAAGCAAAGAGACTCCAAACAAGCAACACAATAGGCAAGGAGCCGAAGCTGACAAGATTAGCTCAGACAAACAAAACACCTAAGGATCTGCATTTCCCCTATTGCCTATAAAACCAGCCATGACCCCATAGGAATCTGGCAAAAGGCATTAAAATATTGAATGACATATTCTTGCACAGGAACAGGCATACCAATCACAAAAGCCTCAAAGAATGTATAAAAAGCCACCTTCTCTCAACTCCATTTTGTCAGCCACCCCAGAAACATGATTCTATCACTGAAATTTCTGGCTACCAAATAAATGGAGACCTTCTTTCTGCAGCCTGCCTCCATTTTATTTCAGTGTCCATTTTATTTCTCCCAGCTTGAGACCAACCTGATTTTTCTTCCGACAATTTGGCAATCCAGATGGAACTCCAAGCTAACCTGACCAATGGACCTGGCCAGATAAGCCTCCACCTTGTTTGGCAGCAGACCCCTTATATCTATGGGTGGATTTCCCAGAGTTTGCCCATTTGGAGCAAGGGAAGTAAAGGGAGTTTTGAGTCTTGAGCCCTACAGCTGCTTGGAAAGGAGGTGATTACCTCTAAATTTTAACTTTTAAAGCCCAGGAGAGTGATGGAAATATGTTTATGCCTGTGTGTGAGTGAGAGGATCCTTCTCCCAATCACAGCTGGATCCTGTTCCCTCCCTGCCTTTCCTAGTCACCCCAGGCTATTTGCTAGTCCCAAAGGATTCTGGAAAGGGGGTTTGACCAGAGCACAGGAACTCAATGGATTAATAGTATTTTTAAGGTTATATTGTGAAGAATATTCTATTGAAGTGTTTTTTTTTAAAAAAAAACTTACTGAAGTATTAAAATGGTTAATTTAAAATTGAATGGATATAAAATAATATTTTTTTTCTTCTTAAAAGATATGCTTTAAAGAAAGTTTTATAATGTTTAAATTAGAATTCTAAAAGGGGAGGCTGATGAACAATTTTTAAAAGAGGAGTTAAAGAGTGTGAGGGGGTTGTGAATCTTATAGTAAGTTAGTATATTTTAGCTTATGTTTGTTTAATGCTATACCCTGTTTTTGCTCTGGGAAGTCGGGGGTGGGGGTGGGGAAGCGGGGGTTGAAGGTTGTGTGGGGATAAAATGGTTGTCTAATTCTTAATAAAATTAAAAGATAGTTTAATAAAAAAAAAACAAGGCGCTAGTGAGTGAAGCGATCTCCGTGCTTTGCTCTGACTCTCAGCTGTTCTTTAGAAGCTTTTTTTCAGCCCTAACTAGGCGCTAGCCGAGTGAAGCGATCTCCCCATGCTTTGCCTGCTTTTCTCATTGCTGCTTCTTCTCAGTTGTGCCTTATAAGCTGTTTTTTATCCTCAAGCAGGGGATAAAAAACCAGCAAACTAATGTGCTGAAGCTGACCAGACTAAGGAGGAATACCTGGTAGGCAAATTTTTTTTCCTCTCTATTTTCCTCCCCAAAAACTAAGCTGCGTCTTATACTCCGGTGCGTCTTATACTCTGAAAGATACGGTACTTTTTTGTCTTTTCTCTACCTACTTTTTATTTAGTCAGATGTTCAAAAGTTGAGTACAGCTTTCAACTTAGAAAAAAGGTTGTGTAACCAACTTCCATCCATAATGCAAATAAAGAGAAACTTATTTCACATAATACCCTATATCTTAATTTTACCTTTCAACCATATACTGTATAATAAATCTCACTTGCTTGTATGCACATGAAATAAAAGCTTCACAATTTTATTAAGAACATTTCTGATAATTTCAATGCATGAAAAAAAAAGGGACATAACACAAAAGATTATAGGAATAATCTCTATTTAGTTTGTTTGTTTGTTCTGAATTAAGTGGAAAGTGCTTACTTTTGGAAGAGAGGCTCTGGAGCCTGAACTCTGAGTGGTCATTGTCAGGACTGTAGTTATGCCCAGTGCAACTCTGGCTGGAGCAGCATCCATGTTGATCCAGAAAGATACCCAGGACAAAATGACGATCAGCAGGCTAGGAATGTACATCTGGATTAAATAATATCCCATCTGACGCTCCAAATGAAACTTTACTTCAATGCATGTAAATTTTCCTAGAACATGAAATTGCTTTTATAAATCATTTTTGTACATTTTAATCCTATTATATCATGAGCATAAATTAACTGCCTTAGGCACATGGACAGTGAAATGTCGGATCTTATTCAATTGGATGGGCATTGTTCCTTCAGTACTAATACAAGTTATATCTTGGCTGACATTCTACCCTGAAGGAATCAACCCCAAGTTACTCACTTGAGAGTTGTATATCACTTTACACAAAGATCACTGCAATTGAAACAATTGATTCAATTTACTGATCTCTCATTGAGTATTGTTTAATGTTTTGAAAATGAGGGCTTTAAAACTTAATACAACTTTATACTTTTTAAACAAAATAATAAACAAAACAGTGCATTTGAAGATTCATACCTCAAAGAGTTTGATGAGAGCATTTGTTGACAGTGGGACTTGATATAAGGGACCAGCTGTTTTTTAAAAAATCTAAATAACTAAATGACTTTGGCAATTGGATCTATTTAGCTTTATATATATAATATAATTTTTTTATTTTTTAATATAATAATTCCATCTTCAATTAAACAGTGTGTCATCCGGGTACAAATATCTTTGTAAAATGATAATCAAGATTTACAGCCATATTCATTACATTAACATTAATTCTATAATATTAAAATGATAATATTAAACATAATAATCATAATATTTACTTCTCTCTCTTAACATATCTTCTTTATTTCACTCATTCTTTTCTTTTGTTTCCCTGTTTCTAACTTCCATTTTCGTTATCTAACTATTGATAAAATAAGTCCCATGCAGTGGTGGGTTGCTACCGGTTCGCCCCAGTTTGGGCAAACCAGTAACAGCAGCAACGGGAGACTCAGCCCACCTGCCCAGACATCATCAAATACAATCTGCACATGCGCAGAAGCTTCTGTGCATGCGCAGACAGGGCAAGCGAACTGGTAGCAAAGGTAAGTAAAACCCACTCCTGGTCCTATGTCATATAGTATTCAGTTTGTTCTTTCTCCTTAATTGCTAGTGTTGGCCTATTCATTTCTGCACATTCTAATATTTTCTGATCACATTCTCATCTGTGGATTTCTTCACTTTTCCAATTTTGTGCAAATACAATTCTAGCTGCAGTTAATATATAGATAATTAAATACGCATTCCCCTTACTATATTTTTTGGGTAAAATCCCCAACAAGAATATTTCTGGCTTTAAATCAATATACTGCTTTATCATTTTTTCCAGCCACATATGTATTTTTGTCCAATATTTTTTTGATTTTGAACATGTCCACCACATATGATAATATGACCCAGGTATCTGGTGGCACTTCCAGCATTTATCCGACTTATCTTTAAACATTTTTACCAACCTCAGTGGCACAAAATACCATCTATAAAACATCTTATACAGGTTTTCTTTGTATGCAGTTGACATTGTTAATTTACAGTTCCTATCCCACAGTTTCTACCCTTTGTCTAACTCTATTGTATAACCAAAGTTTTTTGCCCATACTATCATTATCTCCTTTACTTGTTGTTCTTCCAATTTCATGTCTAATAAATAGCTGTATATTTTCTTTATCAATTTTCCTTCTGTCCCTGTTAATATCTTGTCTAGTTCTGTTAATTCATTATAAAAACCATATAATTTAACATCTTTCTCATATCTAAAATGTATCCGCACTTGTGAGTACCATGCCATATCAATCCCTTGATTGCTCAATTCTTGTTTAGTTTTGAGTTCCCCCTTTTCATTCAAAATATCTTTGTATCTAACAATATTTTCCATGCTAGTGTTGTGACTCCGGCCCCGGAGGCTGATTTATCTTCGCATGCTAAGTCAGAGGATGATATGAAGGAAGCTGGCACGAGCTATGTGCCAGAGGGGCCGTCTTCACTGGTGAGTCAGCAAGAACTGACAGTTGCTGACGTGCTTCTGGACCCCAGCCAAATTGAGGAGGAAACAGAGGCTGGTAATGAGGAGAGGGAGCCCCTATTGGATGCAAGAGAGAGACGTAGGACACGTAGAGAACAGCTATTGCCACGTCCCAAGAGGTGTGGTCTGGAGACATAGGGCCACACCCTACAAAGTATAAAAGAGGTGTGGCTGGGCCAGAAAGGCATGGTGAACAATTTGTTGGTGTTTTGGAGGCAGTGCAGTTTAGAACTGCTAGTTTTGAGTTTTGAAAAGGAGCCTGAATTCCTGCATTAGCCTGCTGTCCATCTGCCAAGACCTCTGGAACATTGCCCAGTAATTACTGAACTGATATACCGTATTTTCTGGCGTATAAGACGACTGCGCATATAAGACGACCCCTGAATTTTCCTGTTAAAATATAGGGTTTGGGCTATACTCGCCGTATAAGACTACCCCTCTTCCAACGCACACCAAATAAAAATTAAAAAACATCAACTGGCTCACCCACAATGTAAAAGCAGCTGTGCTAGACCCAAAATGGCCCTGCAACAAGCAGGAACCTCACACAGCCACAAAAAGCCCAAAAAAACAACTTTCACACTTTACACACACAAAATTCCACATACAGCTTTGTGAGATTTTGTGTGTTTGTGTAGTTAGAGTGAAACACTACAAAAACATACTAAATCTCAGAAAGCTGCACAAATATTATTTTATTTTATTTTATTTTTATTTTTATATGAAAGCTAAACTTCCTAAACTTTAAATGGCTAGGTCTAAAAAAGAACAACTAAAAAAAACCCCAATTAACTATTTTTTTTAAAGATCCCAAAGGGGAAAAAAACTTACCCAATAGAACAGGGGTCTCCAACCTTGGCAACTTTAAGACTTGTAGACTTCAACTCCCAGAATTCCTCAGCCAGCTTTGTTTTGCTGGCTGAGGAATTCTGGGAGTTGAAGTCCACAACTCCCTGCCTGCTTGATTGCAGGCAGGGAGTTGCTTGCTGATGGAATGGATTCAGGCAAGCGAAGCAAGGCAAGTGAAGCAAGGCAAGCAGCTAAGGTAAGCAAGCTGGAGGGGGAAAACTTTTTTCCTTCTCCATGGCTCTGGCGATCCCAGCTGAGTTGCCTGATTAGCAGATCGTCAGAACTTGGATCGTCAGAGCCATGTGAAAGGAGAAAAGTTTTTCCCTTCTCCGTGGCTCTGGCGATCCCAGCTGAGTTGCCTGATTAGCAGATCATCAGGGCTTGGATCGTCAGAGCCATTTAAGACTCGTCAGAGCCTTTCGGGCTGGTCTGCCTGGTTACAGGAGAATGACACCCAGTATATAAGATGACCCCCCACTTTTGAGAAGATTTTCATGTGTTAAAAAGTTGTTTTATATGCCGGAAAATACGGTACCTTTGGAACATTGCCGGTAACTACTGAACTGATATACTTTTGAAAGAGAACTGTTTATTAAAGAGCCAGTTTTAATCTCTCTAGCCTGCGTTTGTTACTGCCGGGCTATTTGAGTTTCTGCAAAGCCACTCGTGGGAGGGGACAGAAAGGTTAGTAACATTTGGGTGAATTAGTGCTTCCATTGTTGAAAGCCAAACTGGTATCCTCAAGTAATGTTGTTCTCTAATTTTCTCCCACACTAACAATAATGCATTCCTAATATAATATCTTTGAAAGTAATCATGTATCTTATTTTTCCCATACCACAAGAAGGCATGCCAGCCCAATTGCAAATCATGCCCCTCCAAAGTCAATAGTCTTGTATGCCTCAATACAATCCATTCTTTCACCCATGTGAGTACCACAGCCTGATAATACAATTCCCAATTCGGTAGCCCAAAGCCTCCTCTCTTTCTTGAATCCTGCAACATTTTAAAGCTTATTCTTGCTTTTTTCCCTTGCCAAATATATCTTAACTAGTTGATAACCCGGCATTGCCTGGCTCCCCCTCTCTGTGTGTATCTCTCTCTTCTCTCTCCTCCTCCTCTGTATCTCCCCCCTCTGTGTGTGTGTGTGTGTGTGTGTGTGTGTGTCCCTCTCTCCCCCTTTCTGTATCTCTCTGTGTGCCTGCCTCTCCCCATCTCTCTCTCCCCCCTCTCTCTGTATCTCTCTGTGTCAGTCTCTCTCCTCCCTCTCCCCCCTCTCTCTTTGTATATATCTCTCTCCCTCTCTATATTCCCCCTTTGTATCTCGCTTTGTGTGTTTCTCTCTCTCTCCCCTATCTCCCCCCTCTATCTGTATATCTCTCTCTCCCCTCTGTATATCTCTCTCCCCCTCTCTCCCCCCTCTATCTGTATCTCTCTCTCTTCCCCCTCTGTCTCTCTCTCTCTGTGTATGTATCTGTATCTCTCTCTCCCCCTCTCTGATTCTAATATGAGGCATCGGGCAGGCCATGAGGCACTTTCATAGTGCCTTGCACAGCACAGTGAACTTTAGCACACTTCACAATGGGGGAGATGGGGTCCCTTCCTCCTCCTGGAGCCCACTACAATGCAGCGACCCTCCTCCTCCCCCCTCCTCCTCTCACAACCCCTGGCTGGCTGTGGCGGGGCTGGGAGAGTACGCCATTACCATGGCAACTCCACTGTGCTGTACAGTAGAAACCATTTTAAGGCAGTGCAGTAGAAGCCATTTTAAGGCACAAAAGGCTGTATCTTAACAGAACACACACCACAAGGGCTGTTAGGGGTGTCTTACCCCCACAGTATTTCTTTCCAGGAAGTAAGTCATCTGTGTACTAAGTTTGGTTGGAATTGCTTGAGTTATGCTGGTAGAAGCCATTTTAAGGCACAACAGACTATATCTTTGCCTAGGTATTTATAGATGCCGAAGCATTTGTTTGACAGGGAGCTATTGGGAGGGACCTTCCTTCCCCCTACTCCCATGCCCATCATCTCTGCCCTCTCCCTTCCCCCTCCCATGTGGTCCTCTTTCCCACCCTGTCTACAATCCTGGCACTTTGCCCCAAATCCATCAGGCGCTTCCCCATTGGTCTACTGGAGGGTGAATGTCATGGCTGGCTTTTCAGAGGAAGCTGTGAAGGAACTGACATCACAAACAATTGCTGTTCTAGGACGCCGCACTCACTCTCCTTAATG